AGAATACCGTCAATTCTGACTTGAAATATACAGTTTGCCCTCGTGTCATTTAGGTTCATAATGGTGTGTCAAGCATAACCATTCCAGTCCAGGTATGTAATGTTACAGGTAAATCTGTTATTATTAAGCCTAACAGCACTATATGCACTGCTAACCCAGTAAAGGTGGTGGATAATCTGGCTTCAGACTTACCAGCTGAGTATGTACCAGAGGAGCTTGGTATAGTCATTGACTATGAGAACCTTACTGATGAGCAGCTGTAAAGGGCACGTCATTTTCTGGGAAATTGGAAAAATGCTTTTCCACCGATTATTTTGACTTGGGTTGTACGGTGTGAAACATCGCATTGACCTCATAGACGATAGACCATTTAAACAACCCTCTCGTAAGATACCACCGGGTTTGTATGGGGAGGTTCGTCAGCATATCAAAAAGATGCATGATGCAGGTGTCATAAGAGAATCGAGTAGTCCAATGTAGTGTTGGTACGCAAAAAGGATGGATCATTACGGTTCTGTATGAATACCGCATGCTGAATTCGCGCACTCGTCAGGATGCGTATATGCTCCCTACCTTTGACGATACAGCAGACAGCCTGATTGGGTCACGTTTTTTCCCTTTAAAACTGGACTTAAGGTCAGGTTACTGGCAAATTGAGGTTGAGGAGTCTGACAAACCTAAGACTGCTTTTTTCTGTTGGTAACCTGGGTTTCTTGGAGACCAACAGGATGGGTTTTGGTTTGAGTTGTGCTCCTGCGTGTTTTCAGCGTCTTATAGAGAAATGCATGGGAGATATGCACCTCAAGGAGTGTTTAATGCACTTGGACGACAAATGGATCTTTTCCCGGACCTTTGATGATCACTTAAACAGGTTAGAATAAATTTTCGCCAGACTAGTGAAACACGGCCTCAAACTAAAACACTAAAAATGTAAAAAAAAAAAGATAATAACACCAGTGACATACCTTGGACATGTTGTCTCTAAAAAAGGTATAGCGACAGATCCTGAAAAGTTGTCCGCTGTTAAGAATTGGCCTCCACCTGAGAATGTGAAGGAATTACACCAGTTTCTGGGGTTTAGCGGCTACTATAGACGCAGCCGCTTCATAAAGGACTTTTCTAAAGTTGTACAACCACTAAAAAACTCTTACATGGTCATGATTTGACAAGGAAATCAAAAACTAATTCCAAGTCTAAATCCAAGTCAAAACCAAAGCAAAAGGCTGAGTGGTTGTGGGAGGAACCACAGCAGACAGCTTTCGAAACTGTTAAAGAGAAACTGGTTAATCCCCCTGTTCTAGCTTATGTTGATTTCTCGAAGCCATTTATTGTCCATACAGATGCTTGTGCCCTCGGTGTGGGTGCTGTGCTCTATCAAAAGCAAGATGGCGTAGAGAAGGTAATTGCGCATGCTAGTCGCGGCTTAACACCCAATGAACGGAATTATCCGGCTCACAAGTTAAGAGTTTTTAGCTCTTAAATGGGCTGTCACCGACAAATGTCACGATTTTCTCTATGGTAATACGTTCCAAGGTTGTCATGGGCAATAATCCTCTTACTTATGTATTGGGTAAGGCCAAGCTGGATGCAAACAGTCACCGTTCGGTAGCTGCATTGGCCAATTTCAATTTTACCTTGCATTATAGACATGGGAAAAACAACGCTGATACGTATGGTCTCGCACGCATGTCTCAAATAAACTCTGATATTATCAAGGCTGTTTGACAATCTGCTGTCACTGTAGCATTGATTGATTGTGTAGTGGGTGAAGCTGTGCCTCATGTGGCCAGCGAGTGTGCAGTTTTATCCGATATACTAGGTACAATTGATTGGCAGAAAGAACAAACGGATGATCTAGACATAGCTAGAGTTGCAGAGCTCTTGAGAACCAGTTTTCATCCCAGGGGGAAAACAATCAAAAGTGAATCCCCATATGTCCAGAAACTGATGAGAACTTGGAATAAGTTGAGTCTCTACGATGGGGTTATGTATAGAACCGCTGCTCTAGATGGTCGAGATATGAAACAGTCACCAGAGAAATACCATTCGCTTGCCTAAAGGGTGTACATGATGACGCAGGTCATCAAGGTAAAGAAAGAACACTATGGTTGGCACGTCAGCGTTTCTATTGGCCAGGCCTAGGGAAAGATGTTGACAGAAAAGTTGAGGTTTGTGAGCAGCGCTGTGTTCGCCGTAAGAGACCAGTAAAGCCCGATGCTGAGTTGGTTCCCATTGAGACATCCAGACCTATGGAGTTAGTCTGTATAGACTTCCTTGGGGTGGATGCGTCCAAAGGTGGCAATGAAAATATGTTAGTCATTACTGACCACTTTACAGGGTATGCTCAGGCTATACCTTGTCGCAATCAGAAAGCGTATACTACAGGTAAGGCGCTTTATGAGCATTTCATTGCATTTTACAGCTTTCCTGGGCGATTGCACATTGATCAGGATCGTAACTTTGAGTCCAAAGTTATTACAGATCTCTGCAAGCTAGCAGGGGTTAGGACGACCCCACGATCTTATGTTCGGTTGGCACCCTTGCTTATCGGTAGATGCGTTTTTTGGTACTAACCCCGGTCAGTAGGGAGCAGAGGACCACTCCTCCCATGTTAGCAAACTGCGATAAAGGATGGAATATGCTAATAAAGCAGAGGCGTCAAAACAAGCTGCTCAGAACAAACACCGATACGATCGGTCTAAACATGAGTTGAGGTTGGCGATCGAGTCCTTGTAAGAAAGGTTGGCCTCAAAGGGAAATACAAACTGGTAGATCGATGGGATCGGGAACCCTATTTGGTTTCTTACGTACCAAATAGTGATATTCCTGTGTATGAGGTGAAGCTGGTATCTGGTAAGGGACCTCGAAGGACCCTGCACAAAAACATGCTTCTCCCATTTAACACAATGCCTGTGAAAGATCCCTCTTAACTGCGAAACCGTAAGGGAAACAGCAAAAGGTCAGTTCCCCCTCCTCATGCAAAACAAAACCAGGATCAGCATCATCATACTCAAACACAGATTCAGAGTCTGAGGATGAAGTCACCACAACCCTGAGGCTACGAACGCACCACCTGCAGCAAAAGGGAAATCCACCAGCTCCACAGCGAGGTTAAGAGATGTAAATCCTGATTCGGAGACAGTTGCTATAGCTGCTGATGAATCAGAGATGATATCGGTCATACATGAATCGGAATTCATTAGAACACCCAGTATTGTTAATCTGTCAATTCAGGACTCTGAGCTGTTCCATAGTGATTACACTGAAACCAGTAGACAGGAGGAGAATACTTCTGAACTCCAGAAGTTAGGAATGTCTCTGTAAACCCCCAGATCGCTATGGAAACTGGATATTTCCCTTACAGGCTGTTAGTGGCAATGGCAACGAGGTATTCGTAGAACTGTAGCAACACAAATTTAAATAAATATCCCAGTATTGTGTTTTAAATATCCATATATTGTTTAACTTTAATCAGTTTGGTCTAAGGGGACTGGTAGGGGTATCCCCAACCTTTCCACTGTTAGATCTGACAGAAATATGTGTGTTTTTGAAGAATAGTCTGTTTTTAACCAACAGTAGTGAACTCCAATGTATACATTGGGATGTATCAGTCGTACTTGTGAAAGTGCATCTGGGGGTGATATATATTGTCCCAATGGGATTATTTCATCATAATATGCAATATAAGGAGATTAGAACATAGGACGTCCGCATTTAATCCATTCCCCGAAAGGTGTTTATAACCTATCATTTGTAAGACTGATACTATTCAGTTATGTATACCTATATAATGGACCCTATATTTGGAAACTAGATTTTGCTTTAATTTGTAGGCTGCGCCTAGATGGTTTCAATATATTCAGTGTCAACATAGTATGCTTGCAAAATGTACCACCTAAGGTAATACCTTATGCTGGAACAATGATGTTGATTCGAACTGGTTTGCCATTACATTTAAATATTTTAGGAATAATGCTTATAATTGAAAAAAGCCTTGAGTCATATCAATCAACAGGGAAGTATGTAGACTGTGTGTACATATTTGTACATTATGTGTAATACTCAATACATAGGCCTGGCCTAGTCTGTCCATGTATGTTTACGTCACACCTGAGTGAGAGTATTCTCGTAGGCGCACGCGCAGCCACATTTCCTCACACACCACAACTCCTCATCCTATAGCTAGGGCACAGAGACGGACAGTCATTTACTGTGAGCTGAGACCTGTTAAGATAGACTAACATGATGATACAATTGTATTTAGTGTTCATTTTATCATTTGTGTCTATCTATCTATTAAACTATCGATTTGGATTCATGTAATTAATGATATATGTTAAAACCTACAATTGACTATTACATAGACTTAGAAGTATTTATATTGTAATTGTAGGCTTCATTTATACGGAATAAAGAACCAAAGAACCCTGACAAGCGTTGTTCACATGAATGGAAACAAGGAGCTTACATTAGTTTCGTATTTAAAGAAGAGAAAAGAAATGTCATGTTGTAATAAATTTGTCATATTTATGATTTCTTTAGCAAGATGATCATTATAAGCTCACTTTAGGTGAATGTCCAGACACGAAGCAGTTGTAAAAGGAGTTTACCATATCTTTGATTTCATGTTTGGGAAGATCAGTAGGAGTTTTTGTTAAGGGTAAAGCAACTTCAGAATATCTGAATATGAAATTAAAAAGTTAAATAAGCACTTTATCTCAATTCTTTGATAACACTTAGAAAAAGTTTTCTTTAATGGAATTAATAAATAAAAACAGCGGAGCGTGAAGGGGTGAACAGTCGGTTCCCATCGGAATACAAACTCTACTGTTTTCTACCTAATTCAGAAAAACATGTTTTTGTCAATAGTGTGATCATCTCGACATTTGTTTTTGTCGACCATTTGTTGGCCCTACTTACATATCCTGTGTTGATGGGCCGTTAAACATTTAATAATATATGTCTTGTTAAATGGTTAAAACAAAGAACGCAAGAAAGTATCGCAAATATATTATTTTATTTGAAAGCAGTTTTACGTAAATTAAACACATATATGCAACATGTTTTACTTTGAATGTATTGAGAGAAAAAAAACCCACCAAATTTTACCCCTCTGACCAAATAAATCCGAGATCAATCCAGTAGTCTCATAGCCAGCCGCAAAAGCGAGAAGAGAAATACAGGTTAAAATCAAGGATAGTGACTAATATATAAGCCACACTATCCAGAATAGCTGCTCTGTCATCACCGGTTTAGTCAGACCATTGGATGAAATATTTAGAAAACATACTGTATATATACATGTGTATGTTAGAATTACATTAAACATAAAATCGCCCGTTAGTTCGACACTATTGTTTATCGAAAAATAAGGAGTTTGTGATTGCAATAGACAGAAGTCAATAATGATATACTGTACGTATCTATGGCACAATACTAATGATCCATGTTTTCTGTCGAAACCAAACATTTCGCTACAACAGAGAAAGTTAATTACATTGAGATTGATTTCGGTTATAAATAAACGAAGGAATATTGTTTTTATGATAAAGATCTGTATTATTTAAAAATTGTAAATCATACACATATATACGGAAAAGTATGTAACGATATGAGAACGATAAATAAACCAGTTAAAACATATATACATGTTAGCTACTGTACTGTCCACTCATAACGTACTACATGTCGTCTTGACGTGTCTTTAACCCTTTCACCCGTATGTAACTTTAGTAGACTCCACGATGCATTGACCTGGATGAGTCCATTTTGGTCTTAAGTAGTTAAAAGGTTAAAGATAGTAATCCTCGAATACACATAACACTTTGGACGACACGTTCACATTCTACCTTACAGTGCTGTCTTCTAACATTGACGATTGTTTATTATTGCAAAATGTACAACCCAATACGAACACGTTATACTAAATACAACTATGGTTTTCTATGTCAATGATCACAGTATCATTTAGATACTTATGGCGTTCGGAATCTCATCGGGGTCCAACCAGGGGTATGTTGGATTTCGGTGATTATTCTTTTCTTTGATCGCAAGAGACAACTTTTTCAATTCATATCGGAATCTGAAATAGTGGAAACAACATGCCATTTTACTAAAACGTAATATTTTCATAACACTGTTTCCAAGTCCAGATAGAGATTTAAGTTCTAATCGTTAGGTTAGTTATTAAGTAATGTAAAACTGTTTCCAAGTCCAGATAGAGATTTAAATCCTAATCGTTAGGTTAGTTATTAAGTAATGTAAAAAAAAATTCAAGTCCAGATAGAGATATAAGTTCTGATCGTTAGGTTAGCTATTAAGTAATGTAAAACGGTTTCTAAGTCCAGATAGAAATGTAAGTTCTAATCATTAGGTTAGTTATTAAGTTATGTAAAACTGTTTCCAAGTCCAGATAGAGATGTAAGTTCTAATCGTTAGTTTAGTTATTAAGTAATCTAAAACTGTTTCTAAATCCAGATAGAGATTTAAATCCTAATCGTTAGGGTAGTTATTAAGTAATGGAAAACTGTTTCCAAGTCCGGATAGAGATTTAAATCCTAATCGTTAGGTTAGCTATTAAGTAATGTAAACTGTTTCCAAGTCCAGATTGAGATTTAAATCCTAATCGTTAGTTTAGTTATTAAGTAATCTAAAACTGTTTCTAAGTCCAGATAGATATATAAGTTCTAATCGTTAGTTTAGTTATTAAGTAATCTAAAACTGTTTCTAAGTCCAGATAGAGATATAGGTTCTAATCGTTAGGTTCGTTATTAAGTAATGTAAAACTGGTTCTAAGTCCAGATAGATATATAAGTTCTAATCGTTAGGGTAGTTATTAAGTAATCTAAAACTGTTTCTAAGTCCAGATTGAGATTTAAATCCTAATCGTTAGTTTAGTTATTAAGTAATGAAAAACTTTTTCTAAGTCCAGAAAGAGATTTAAGTTCTAATCGTTAGGGTAGTTATTAAGTAATGTAAAACTGTTTTTAAGTCCAGATAGAGATGTAAGTTCTAATCGTTAGTTTAGTTATTAAGTAATCTAAAACTGTTTCTAAATCCAGATAGAGATTTAAGTGCTAATCGTTAGGTTAGCTATTAAGTAATGTAAACTGTTTCCAAGTCCGGATAGAGATTTAAATCCTAATCGTTAGTTTAGTTATTAAGTAATCTAAAACTGTTTCTAAATCCAGATAGAGATTTAAATCCTAATCGTTAGTTTAGTTATTAAGTAATCTAAAACTGTTTCTAAATCCAGATAGAGATTTAAATCCTAATCGTTAGGGTAGTTATTAAGTAATCTAAAACTGTTTCTAAGTCCAGATAGAGATGTAAGTTCTAATCGCTAGGTTAGTTATTAAGTCATGTAAAACTGTTTCTAGGTCCAGATAGAGATGTAAGTTCTAATCGCTAGGTTAGTTATTAAGTCATGTAAAACTGTTTCCAAGTCCAGATTGAGATTTAAATCCTAATCGTTAGTTTAGTTATTAAGTAATCTAAAACTGTTTCTAAGTCCAGATAGAAATGTAAGTTCTAATCGCTAGGTTAGTTATTAAGTTATGTAAAACTGTTTCTAGGTCCAGATAGAGATGTAAGTTCTAATCGTTAGTTTAGTTATTAAGTAATGAAAAACTTTTTCTAAGTCCAGAAAGAGATTTAAGTTCTAATCGTTAGGGTAGTTATTAAGTAATCTAAAACTGTTTCTAAGTCCAGATAGATATATAAGTTCTAATCGCTAGGTTAGTTATTAAGTAATCTAAAACTGTTTCTAAATCCAGATAGAGATTTAAGCTCTAATCGTTAGGTTCGTTATTAAGTAATGTAAAAAAAAATTCAAGTCCAGATAGAGATTTAAGCTCTAATCGTTAGGTTCGTTATTAAGTAATGTAAACTGTTTCCAAGTCCAGATAGAGTTTTAAATCCTAATCGTTAGTTTAGTTATTAAGTAATGAAAAACTGTTTCTAAGTCCATATAGAGATATAAGTTCTAATCGTTAGTTTAGTTATTAAGTAATCTAAAACTGTTTCTAAATCCAGATAGAGATTTAAATCCTAATCGTTAGTTTAGTTATTAAGTAATGAAAAACTGTTTCTAAGTCCAGATTGAGATTTAAATCCTAATCGTTAGTTTAGTTATTAAGTAATGTAAAACTGTTTCCAAGTCCAGATAGAGATTTAAGTTCTAATCGTTAGGTTAGTGATTAAGTAATGATGACTCATCCTGAGATGTATCTTTTTGCTTAACAATCGTAAAATGTTAGAACAATATAGTATTATATAACCTAAGACAAATGAGAGTGGGACTTACAGTTGATACAAGCAACAAGATATCAGAACAGCAGGAAATGGGTTATACACCCCCAGAATGGCAATAGAACATCAAAAACAACAAGTCACACAGAATTTGATCTCATTCAGGGTTTTCTTAAAAACAGAAGACTTTCTATTAGATATTCTTACGTTACGTGTATATTGAAAACTTGAAATAAAAGATACCACAATGGCCTCTTCCCTCCAAAGATTAATATATTGATATTAACTAAATACTATTTACAATGATACACTAATGGCAATCTCACTACTAAACTCGATGAGAAACACGGCATCCCCTACGCATGGAGAGTTGATGCCAAATTTAATTCTCTACTCCCCAAGATGCAGTTATAAATATTGGACCACTAAACGTGATGGGTTCTCTTGTTAAGATACCTTATATTCATATTCATGACTGGACCTACAACCTTGAAATTTCATTTTCCAACATTATTACACTCATGTCTGTTGGCGTTTTAGTTGATGTGGTCTACATACTATCTTAGGTGTGCCCGGGGAAGACGGATGGGAAATAAAGAGGGGCACAGTTTTGGAATCCTACAGTCTACATGAAAATCCTGCAACTGAACTTAACATAGGTTTGGTCAACCAGGGGCCCAATCAATCTCATACTATCATCAATATTGTATTTTATTTTGGCCTTTGGTGTACTTTTCACAAAATAGGCCTCAAAATAATTTACAACCATATACTTATATCGCAAATGTTCTTCCTTTGAAACGAAAATTATCGTAATTAAACAACAGCGACAGTCCTGCAGATTGTTTAAGAGTCGAAAAGCAGACAATTGAGAAATATTGTTGGGAAGAGGGTGTTCAATATTAATCAAGAGATCTTTTGAATTCTTTAAAATCCACATTCTATTCATTCTAGTTCTGGAAAAGTCTTATCACTGGGCTGCGGTTTAAGAATGAAAGAAATCTCTATTGTTGATACATGTTAGACAGACATATTTGTATTTCAAGTTGTATGTATTATTGTGATATATATGTATTTTAAGTTGTATGTATTATTGTGATATATATGTATTTTAAGTTGAATATATTATTGTGATATATATGTATTTTAAGTTGAATATATTATTGTATTTAAGTTATATATATTATTGTGATATATATGTATTTTAAGTTGTTGTATATATTGTTGTGATATATATGTATTTTAAGTTTTATATATTATTGTGATATATATGTATTTTAAGTTTTATATATTAATGTGATATATATGTATTTTAAGTTGTATATATTATTGTCATATCTCAATAAAAAAAAAACTACTGTGAGCTACTTACTCTTCAACAACCTCTACAGCTTTGGGATCAACTATGTAGCTGATTTCAAAGTCGCCGAGACTGTTTGTTCCCTTGTCACTAAGAATTTTGGTGATGATCATGGTGTCCAGTGTGGTAGGCTTGTCCGGCAGGGCTGCCAGCACGCACTCCTCTTTCAAAGGCGACTTCATGAAAAAGTACAGTTTTAACAATAACTTTTCATTAACTTTGATTTACTAAAAATGGAATTGGTAAAAAAAAATCAATTTCAGAAATCGAGGGATTTAATATCTTTGTTTTGGCTGAGTATTATTTTCCTAACTAATGCACGTGATGACTGTGATATCATTATTCTGCCTAGGAGTACTATGCAGTGTGTACCTTGTCCGTGGGGGGTCTGCCGTTCATTGCGGCAGGGTAGGCTGGAGGAAAGCCATACTGGTCATATTGGGCGAAATTCGTAGCTGCGTGAGCGACGCTGCACGTGAAAATGACGCTGGTTAAACATTTGCCTAGCTGATCGAGAGTCTCAAATGTTCCATTTCCCGGTATACCCTTAAACATGAAAGGGTACGTAATTATTATTTTTACAAGGTATGTAAGTTACGTTTTGTCGGCATATCATCTTTAAGGAAACAAAATTGGGTAAATTTAAACCATTATTTGTTGTCAATGTCAAAACAACATGTATGTCTTATTGATGTAACTGATGTAAGTGGATATCATGTAAATCCATGTATACACGATTTAAAGAGAGACTATATACAAAATTACAATATGCCTTTGCAAATATGAACCACTTTTTATAATAAATATGGTTACTTATTTTACTGCATACCTCTAGAGCGTAGAATAGCCCTGTTTTACTGCATGATTTAAAGAAGATGAAATACATCAAAAATATGTTTTGGTAATGATTCCTATGATATGATTTATCCATTAAACATAATTTTAGATACAAATTGATAACGAATGAAAGGAGACATCATGCTAAAAACTATGTAACTTCCTGTCCATTCAAGCGCTGCATGCATTCTTAATCAAAGCGTATATTGAAAAGAAAGGATGCCCAGTCGTCCCCGTTCACACGTGCTGCACGTGCTACATATGTGTATACCTGCATTCCACAGCCTCCCTCCGACACCGGTTTCACAAGCTCTTGGGCCCAGCCTTGTACTTCCTTGTCGGTCTGTATCTTTTTTGGTGAATCTACATCATGAATAATTTGTAAATTTTGACATTGATACCATAGAAATGAAATGAAAATGAAAAATTAAAGGAATCTGATGAACAATAAGTCACTAAACCTTGACAGCAGCATGCTACAAAAACCGCGTTTGTTTGCATAAATGGACTTTGAATGTCCAAAAGGAATAACAATATCAATACTTGTTTTCGTTGTAATTTACTTAGGCCAAGCTGGGATGCTATTAGATCTTTCAAAACAAGCAAGCTTCATACCGTTTAGCACCTTTGTTTGCGCTATTCTGTTTAAGCTTAAACCATAGCATAAACAATTTAGGGAAGTTACATTTTAAAGCCAGCTACCTGGTATGCTACAAAAGTCGAGGATGTTTGGTTAATAGTCAACTTCATTACATGGTTTAAAACAGCCAATTATATATGTTGAACGGTATTTGTAAAACAATATGAACATAACTTTACTGACGAAAATATATTTATATTGGTGTACTTATAAAAGGTCCAATAATAAATATATTAGAATGCTTAAATTTAAAATTTGGTTACGACTTTATACAAGTGGCAGTTTCGCAGGCACGTGCATATCATGATACTCCTATCTTTTGCTAATTTGTACAATGTGATTCTATTTGGCTGACCTTGTTGACCATTTATGCTAATTTTTACCGTGTGATTCTATACGGCTGACCTTGTTGTTTTGATTGGCTGTAATTGATTGAAAGGTTTTTGTGAGCAAATTGTCAACGTTCCGCCATTATTGATCAATCTTGGTAATATTATATTGAAGTCACGTGGTAGCTGACAGTTGTCAGTACAATATATCATTGTATGTAACTAAATAAATGATGGACCCTAAGCGAATTGCATTGAACAACACATGGTGTACGTGTATCGGGTTATCCCGTGACTTCATTACACTATGACGAAGAGTGAGTAATATAACCGCACGTTTACACTAGTTTTACAACGTCATTCTCTTAAATCTTAAGAATTTAATGTGTATGGTGTTAATTTGCTGTTTTAGGGTACAAAACAGCTATCCGTACAACAACAGTGTAATAGTAGGAAGGCTATAACGGGACACTCCCGAGTCACTCTTTACTCCTGCGCTTATCTATCATTTCAGTTTCATGGCAAATAAGTTGAAGTAGTGATTTTGAATTTCCAGATAAAATCTGCATATTTCTCTCTTTTAATAATTCTAAAATATTTTATCAATACCCTTCAGATCCCTTAGGAAGTATTCTGTATGTCTGTCAATGGGCTTATGGGTCATACAGTTTAATCGTTTACAATTAATTATTGGTACAACAAATGACAAAAGCACAAGAATAAAGCTCTAATCAGTTATACAAGGATTCAATCGACATTACTAATCACAACCAGATCCCCTAATACAAACCTCCTACCACGGACTTAGATAATCTAATTCCGTGCTCCTACATATATACCACACGCTTCATTGCCTAACTTAATCACTATTCAGCCCCAAGACACAACAGTGACCTTGTCTGACACTGTTACGTAACAAAGTCTACAAAATGACACTATTGACCATGAAAACGAAACTAATTGATTATCACAACAGCGATCATAAAATGTGAAGATAAAGTCCGTTATATATATATATATATATGGCTATCTGTACATCATACAACACAGCAACCGAGAGCTAAAATAAATTAAGGCGTAGACAAATGCGACGTAATATAACCCACAGAAAAGTCATTTTATGGATGAATGCATTCTGGTGGTTAAACACAAGGATGATTCATATATATATTTTTTTAATTTCTATTTTTTTAAAACTAAATTAGCAGATTTCTCATAATAATCAAATAACACCAGTAATTGCTTTTTTTTAACTGTTAAATGTTACGGTTTTAAATGGCGGTGTGGCCTACATTCTTGCTTTGTATTTTGCTGTTTCTTCGTGTGTCAAACTTCTTAACTTAAACTTGACGTTGTAATATATCACCCATACCTTCGGCTGGTGTCCTAGTGATAGACGCTCTACACGAATTTCATAGTAACCACCTCATGTTGGGAAGTAAATAGAGCTGTTTTTGACATACTGATACACGAATATTAGTGTTACACTCTATCGAAGGGAGCTGACATAAATATACTGACTGCTTAACGCGTCATGTTACATAAGATACATATATGTACTGATATGATTTAATCCAAAGTCACTCATTAAGAAATCTGCAAAATATTTGTAGCCGACTTTAGAAATTCAGTAACTATTGTCAGACAGTTCTCATGTTTACAAATTTCATTTGCATGCAAGATCCAAGAAACTGAAAAGTACACGTGTGCGTGTATGAGTTTGTGCATGAGTGCGTGTATGAATTTGTGCATGTGTGCGTATATGAGTTTGTGCAGTAATACCGTGCTATGTACTTGTGGTTTAACAGTAATACAGTGCTGTATACTTGTAGTTAAACAGTAATACCGTGCTATGTACTTGTGGTTTAACAGTAATACAGTGCTGTATACTTGTAGTTAAACAGTAATACCGTGCTATGTACTTGTAGTTAAACAGAAATATAGTGCTTTTTACTTGTAGTTAAACAGCAATACAGTGCTGTATACTTGTAGTTAAACAGTAATACAGTGCTATGTACTTGTGGTTTAACAGTAATACAGTGCTGTATACTTGTAGTTAAACAGTAATACCGTGCTATGTACTTGTAGTTAAACAGTAATATAGTGCTGTTTCCTTGCAGATTTACAGAAATACAGTGCTATATACTTGAAGTAAAAGAGTAATACAGTGCTGTATACTTGTAGTTTTACAGAAAAACAGTGCTATATGCTTGAAGTTGTATAGTAAAACAGTGCTGTATACTTGTAGTTTTACAGAAATACAGTGCTATATGCTTGTAGTTTTACAGTAATACAGTGCTGTATATTTGTAGATTAACAGCAATACAGTGCTATATGTTTGAAGTTTTACAGTAATACAGTGCTATTTACTTGTATATTTACAGTAATAAAGTGCTGTAAACTTGTAGTTTTACAGTAATACAGTGCCGTATACTTGTAGATTTACAGCAATACAGCGATAAATACTTGTAGATTTACAGCAATACAGTGCTTTATACTTGCAGTTTAACAGTAAAAACTGCGTTACAGTTATGTATATATTTCTCTACTTACAGGGATACAGTTCTGTAATTTGTAGACTTACCGTAATACAGCACTAGGTAATTGTTGACGTATTTGCTAAGGATGTTGTAAAGTGGTAAGGCATCCTCGCGATAATGGTATCCAGGTAAGACGGTTTCATCTAATACCTGTAAATGTAAGCGTATTCGGGTAAAACGTTTGTCATTTAATACAAGTAGTGGTTCAATACAATATATTGTCTATACTATCGCTGAATTGTTTTCAACTTAACTTGCGTTAATGTTTATCATATATTGTATTTTATAACTAAAATAGTAATTAATTATAAGATTAATTTACTCCTCTTCTTTCAAGGTCGTTCGGCAGTGTTCCGTCAACATCCATTCTCCAGTTACCACACCTGCAATATACAGACTAAATTATTATTTAAATGAATCAGAAAACAAAACAGTCATCAAGTCAATAATATGTAAAGCATTAATAATGCATAAACATCGACCGAACATGATCTATACTGGTTTGTTATTTCATATTAACATATGTAATTAGTTTCTGGTTACAAATGTCATGCATTGTTGCTCCTTAAGTGTATACGTGATTGGTTGTACGTACTGTCGCGTTACAATCTCAAACATTCCGAGACGTCCGATTGACATTGCCTTGTCCACCCATCCTCCCGGACTCACCAGCTTCCCGAGTGCTCGTCTGAAACATCAGGACATCAGCGATGGAATAGAAAGAGAATGGACAGAGCTTTACATGTATGAACGTCCAGTGCTATGTAAATGTGCCCCCTTCGTATACTAACATAGTTTTGTTGTGGTTTAACATTATAATCACTCGTGTGTTAATGCATGATCGAACAGAAATTGTATTGTTTCAATGATAACTAAGCATACAAACACTGACTTATATGCCCCGTGCCACTGACAAAGTCTGCAACTAGGAATTGGAACCTGTTTTTTGTCGGTACGAAAAACCTGAAATATATCGTTTTTGAAAATAAAATAAACGACCTAAAAAATGATTAAATACAAGTGCAACAAAGCCACACCAGAGAGCTACAGTATATGATGATTGGTAGTTCCTTCTCCCAGTCCCCTATACAATTCCCCCCCCACCCCACCCAAAACAAAAAATACAGGGGAGGTTGGTAGGACAAACTAGTATCTAGTGTTCGGCCTAAAGGGGAATGAGGATCCCTGAATTACATCGGCGACGTTAGAGGCCAATACATTAGAATAGTAAATAAACTGCAAGAGCAGTCAGATGAAAGGCAGTGAAAGCAGTAGAAGTGTATTATACATTTTGATCAGCAAAAATATATAGAGCATTTTACAAGTCATATAGATCGACCTGTTAAGTAAAACAAGATGACCAAAAGTAAGTAAGATAAGTAGTTTTATAATTGCATACGTGTTAATAGCCAGTAGGTAAAGCGAATGTGGGGCGAGCAGCTTGAAGACCGGATGTGACCTGGACAGGTTCCGGTTCGTCACCACAGCAACACCCTCCATCATCAAGTGTGTTGCACCTGTGCAGATATAAATAATATTACCAACAAAAAATCCAAAAAATATTCTGGCAGCACGCATTAACTGAAATAAAATATCATGATGTTAATACGACGGTGAGTGTAACATCATGTGTCAATACGCCTTTAAGCTTGGCTTGGCGATATGAGCTATAAGATCAACACAATACTGTTATTTCTCAGACACACCCCTTCAAGTGACCAAGCACTACACTGGTATTTCTCAGACATACCCCTTTAAGTGACCAATCACTACACTGTTATTTCTCAGACACACTCCTTTAAGTGACCAAGCACTACACTGTGATTTCTCAGATACACTCCTTTAAGTGACCAAGCACTACACTGTTATTTCTCAGACACGCTCCTTTAAGTGACCAAGCACTTCACTTTTATTTCTCAGACACACTCCTTTAAGTGACCAAGCACTACACTGTGATTTCTCAGACACACCCCTTCAAGTGACCGATCACTACACTGTTATTTCTCAGATACACTCCTTTAAGTGACCAAGCACTACAATGTGATTTCTCAGACACACTTCTTTAAGTGACCAAGCACTACACTGTTATTTCCCACATTTACCGAAACAAGTTAACATTTATATAATACCATTTGCAACCATACATACATATGTATCCTTATCAGTTAACATATTAGCATTCCTGATTCAATGTTTGGTAATTGAACATTTCGACCTAACAAACATCGATGAGCTATTCCGTCTCGTACCTACCCAGATGAGTAAATGATTGGTGAAAGGAACAGTCCGCATTGTTAAACCAGAGTTTCGCTGTAAGCCAGGTGTACTCTGGATCTGTGGGCAGAAACACCTGTAAACAAAACATCATGTTGAGATAAAAGACATGTAGAAGGGTTATACCTTATTTGTTTTAATTACATTCTTCAAGGGCACTTTCTTATATATTAAGATAGTCTAATTTTCAGAATGGACGAGTTGACATAAAACTGATGTATCCATAATTAAATTTAAGATTATATTTTAATTGTTGATTATTTCATGTAAGTCTTACTGGATTATCCTGTCCTGGTTTCTGTTTGAGCTGTATGGCGACTGGCATCAACTTCTGATCTTTATTGACAAAAAACAATGCAATGGGTGCACAGATCTGAAAAATAAGGCCCGCACTTAGAAGTGACTTGACGAAAGCAAACAACAGTTTTATACTTGATAGTTGTAATATTATAATACTTGTATCAACAGTATGTCAGTATATGCACTTTCACATTCAGATTTCAACGACGAATTGATGTGGCATTGTCGTATAACTCGAGCCTGAAAATGGTAGAATGAATTAATGGTATTGATACGAACATGGTATAGCGACAGATCTCTTTACGGACGTAAACGGTGATATAATAATTGGCCACATCAGACAGTGTGTTGGTGGGTAAGGCATGGTTAAATAGACAGATACACCGTTCTTTAGAGTCCTAATTGTATTTTAAATATTGAACGGTGCCTTTAAAATCAAGCGTCGGAAAAAAAGTGTTTTATTGAATTTCTAAAGATAATTGCAGCTTTAAATTGCTTTTGAAAGGACGCTTTATTGCATCTACAAAATATATATGTAACTAATAACGCCAATTAAAAGGAGATTATGTATTGCCGACAACAAGGCTTGATTGCAGATAAATATCGGGTAACTTAGTTATGTACAAAGGAATAAGCCGAGTAAAGATAGTGTATAGTGTTTGAATATTTCGAAACTATTTAGTACTGTTTCAAGTCTAGAAATGCCAAATTTGTGGTATCGGTAGTGAACGTGCTTGTAGTTACTAGTGTATGAGTGCTTTAGTGCTTTCGGTATTATACCTGATTTTACCAGTCTAGAAATACGATAAAAGTATATTGCATGAAGTGCAACTTGGCGATATTTACCAATGCTGATGTTGTGGTTTCAGGAAAGTTATGCCTGTTATGCTGTAAGTTTAGAAATGTTTGTTGTTGTGATTCAATCATTATTCTAAAACATTGACACAAATATCTACCATTCTGCCTCCCGAACATGGAATGTCCTCGAGAATCTTGTAGTCAATGAAGAAGAGACGCTTCGCATCCATTGCTTGCTGCAAAGTGAGGCCTTCTATGAGTGGCTTTGCCATGTCATCAGTCACTGCCAAACTGACACAGAATAAATAACATTGACGTTAAATTCAAACTTCCTTTATATGCGAATTCTTATTGACATATTAACGAAAAACATCTTTACCGCTATGGTGTGGGCTAGAAGATGCTATGGTGTACATGTGGCCTAGAAGATATATTGACAAAATGCACGTGTTAATATTTCCAAAACAAAATCAAAACATTTTCAGATATTTTAGAAAACAGGATAACATAACTGCTATCAGTTAAAAAGTATTAAAACGCCAAAATGTATATTATTGCATAATTATAAGGAATACATCTGGTGAAGTTATTTACTTGGGCGGGATGACCGTACAGAGACGTATTACGGAGTGATTGACCTTCGTCAGTCTCTGGCTTCCGAAATATTCATCCTCCTGCCAGTGCAGTGCACTCTGAAACACAACACGTTTACACGTCAAACAATGCATTGACGCACAAGATCGCGGAACAAGATAATTTACTTTCAAAATCTCCGAACAACGTAATGTATTTGACTAAACATATGTAATCTATGCCCTGGAAAATGTATTTATTTCAATATCAATTATCACTTAAACTTACGTTGGGTAGAAATAGACTCTCCTTGGTATACACATTTTTGAGATCATCAAGGTTGTTCCATTCACCGGTGAAGTATTCCTGTATCTTTGAAGTTAGCTTCAGGGTAATTTTCTTTGACTGTATATCCCACTACAATTAAAGCAGTGCCTTCAGTTAGTATTGTCATTGAGAAGCTCCATCAAAGAGACATTAAGGTAGATATTACAATTAATGCTTCATGTATTTACATCAATTGTCTGCCTGAATACAAATGATATCATTAAATGAAAAATCATCTCTCATACATACTCGCAAACATACTGGTTACCACCGTACGTGTAGAAATTACTCAACGTTTCAGTAAAGTGGCGTTAAGATTAGGTAGATCAATGTACGTTACATTTCAGTTGAGCATGGCTATAACGTGAACACTCTGAGATATATATCTACTGGGCGTATGAACACATCTAGACTAGACGGTCACAACATATCAATCTCGTTAGTTTGAAATTTTACAAGTATATCCAAAACTGTACAAAATAGGCAGAAAAATATATTCATACGGTTTAAATATTGTTTATATGGGGTAAGGTGTATCGTCATCTCCATTTAAAGAGGGCAATTCTTGTTTTTAGAAAATCGGCTCACTATCGGTTTTGTTTTAATTGATGTGTAAAGTAAGATGTATCCAACGAGATATTTCAGCTCTTACGTGTGTCATTAACTTAGCAGGGCCTGACGTTTTAATTAAATCTAATTCATTAATTTCCTCTTTACGTTTACTTTTATATGCTATTTTATGTCTTGATCACAGTAGAATTAGATTATTCAACGTGGGGCTGATTGGTCATACGTTTTTACTGTGTTCTGGAGATGATTGCCGTACTGACTGCAGGAAGTATCTCGAACAGCAGCAACACGAGTATCATTGGTCCTGCTTTACGTGTATATTTGGAGAGATTTGACGTATTCTATATTTCTAACACTTTAACTATTTGATAATAGTGCTGATACTTTGACAGAACACATAAGGTCAATACACGGAACATACTTTATAATCATCGGAGAAGTTCTCGTCGGGCGGTAGACATTTCACCTGAAAAAAGCAGGAAGAACATAAAGATGCATGCATCAAATATGACTGGAAACATTACATATATGATAATAAAGCTTGCCATTTATAAACAGGACATTTAAAGCGCCATGTATGAAAAACTAAGACGCTTTACAATTAATATTTTGCGACAAAGAATTTTGACTTCAATGGTAGCCTTACGGAAATCCGGCAGTTTTATGTAACTAACGTAGGCTTATCATCGGTAACTAAATGCTAAATAAAAAAAATCAAACATTGCGTCGATTTTCATGTATATGTTGACAGTAATTGTTATTATGAAAAGGAAAGGTACATCCCAGATCTACAATATACCTGTCCGGGCATTCCAGGAGACTGCGCTTCTATTTCATACAATTTTTTCATCTCGACTAGTTCCATCTCGCGTTGATCTTTGAATGGGTCGGAGTCAGACGGAAGTGACGTATCAAGGTGACGTATGCGGTAGTGATAATCCGCTTTAATCCACCGATAGAAGGGGAAGATGTATTTACGCCCAGACTTTCTACACAACACTTCGACTGTGTTTAAATGCCACTCGTCGTAAACCCCGGCCGAATCTCGCCACAACTCTATGTGGTCAATATGGTCGAGTACTGTTGCAGTTACCGAGAACGAGTCTTGTCGTCCCCTTTCAAAGTCGTTCCTGAAAAAATTATCCAATTTGATGACGTCAGTGCTCGTACTGCCGTCTCCACTGTGGAAACGCACCGATACATTGGCATCTGTCCCAGCATTCTTCTTGTCTCCCGTGGTAACCCACACCGTGTGGGTTGTAAACGCCATACTGGTCAAAATATAAAAACAATATTCGTATTATGCATGTTGCTGTTTCCAGTGATACTATTACTATTCCTGTGTAAATAACCATTGTCTTAGCTAGCTAACTGATTATTTAGCTGTTAATATTAAGGTTCCTTGTTAAACAAATCACAAATCCAAAGTTGTAACAATTCAGTTTCAGTTATTTTACTTACGCTGAGATAATGTGTTTTTAATCTGAAGCATTTGTTTCCCTGGTTTTAATATGATGTTAATTAGTAATAAGTGATTGTTGCTGGATTTGTATGCTATGCATTACGATCACACCTATTTTCCGTGTTCGGTGTGATGTTTATCGCCGTTAACGTTTTGATCTTGACTCGAAGTGATGTCTATTACCATTAAACAATTGTTTTCCTGACTCGGTGTGGTGTGTGATCCCACTGTAACATGAAGAGTAATAGTGTGTTCGAACCCGCAGATCCTAGACTTCCTAGTGAAATCTGGACGCTTTACCACTGAGCTAAAGGGAAATTCCCTCTAGCGCGACGCTAGAAGGCGACCGTAATTCTATGTACAATTAAAATCTGCCGTACTACTCCTCCTTTTAAATGTGTTCGCCTTCGAATTTCGCAAAAACTCCAGGTTCGAACAACCTGTCATCATAGGGAGGGCCACGTACACCATTTGTAACAGGAGAGAGAGTAGTGTGCTCCCACCGGATCGAACTATAGATATCCTGCCCTACTTTATGTATAGTGCGTGTTTGGTTTCCTGGCTTGGTATGGTAGGGTTATTCATTACAATTCAGCAGTCGGGAAAATATAATGAAATATTACTTCAAATCAGTTTTAGTTCTGCAGTGTGAGACAACGCACGAGTAATTTTTAAGTGTTTAACCAATACAATTTGGAATATTGCATTTTTTTTTGAGTCACATAGATCAGGTTGCCTGTATCTATTTAAAAAAAATATTATTTTGATCCGAAGCTTTAATATCTAGAAAAAGCAGCGAACGGGTTGATGACCTTTTCAATATGAAAAATAACAGTCTGACGATTTTGTAAAGAAGTGACTCCATGGTCATATTACATTTTCACGGCGCCATATACATTGAGCAGGAGTTTTTAATAAAAACAATCTTTACTACCAGAACGAATATAATTTTAAAGACAAATTGTTGTTAGAAGTAGAAGATTTCATTGTTTCCCAGTGAATTCTGTATCAACAGTTCCTCATTTGACTCAAAACACAAAGTACTATAATATTTTCACGATTTGTTGAAAACTTGTATTACACTTGTGAAAATGACATTCAGCGAGCAACTCTTAGATGTATATCTTCCACGTTTATCCGCAGCTTTAAAAAATATTTCATTCACCAGCTTCAAAATTATATCTGTTATTTACAGTAATGTAACAACCTATGAGTTCAAAATGAACTTCATGTAAATGGTGGTATGTTACCTTAAATGTTATCAGGGGAATTGACTGTGTTATGTCACCTTTTTGGGAAGTTTCTGAATCGGGATGGATCAATAGAATATGAATAGAGTGTTAACAGAGTATAAAAACACGGTAATTAATATTTTACATAGTGAAACGAAAAATAATCTTACAAACAGTTATAGTATGACTTGAAGCATTTTTATTGAAATTAAACTGAAATATTTGGAATATTTGTGTGCACTCTAATGATGTAATATTGGACGTAGGGCTGCCTTTGTGAGTCCATAAACATCCAGTACTATATGCTGTGCATGCTTAAATCCTAAAGATCAATGTGTTCCGTACTAATAGCTGGTAATATTGTTTATCATAAAGCGATGTCTTGCGTTAACATTCCTCCTTGTTTATGCCGAATGACCTTAATGATATTACTGGCACACATGCTAACAACATAAGGTGAATCAATTCTCAATGTTAATAAAAATATGACAAAAAAATCTGTTTGCAAATCTATCGATGTATCGTTTATATTTACTTAGTTGTTTGTGCTACAATATATTTGTCAATAATATTAATTGTAATGATGTAGAACAAGGCCGTGTAGCAGTACTACGGTGTCATGCTGTCCTGTCACCATGCAATGATTGTAATGTCAGTTTTTGTTTCACCGTTTCAACCAACGTAAACGTTTTGTTAGCACAGTTTTACAATGAATCGACTATGTGTTTAACTTGCCCACTAGAACTCCCGTTTATAAATGGCTGATACAGACCAAGTACTGCAAAGCAAAAGTTATCTCAGAAAGTGTGTTGTATGAAAGACATGTAAATCGCAGGTGAATATTTAGGTGAAAATGCAGCATTTATATGAAACAGTATATAATTGACTTGTCATTGTTTAATAAAACAACACCTTCCTTTTGTTGTTAAATATGTACAATTGTTAGCACTCGGAGAACACCCAACCCCCTCTGTTTTACATTGATGTGTTCAGATGTAAAGCATCAAGGACTCCACGTCAGCGTTAATATATAAGCATACTGATGAGTAGCTGTTATTAATAAATTATGAGATCATCCTTGTATGAAATTGGACTGGATTATATATGGTTGGAGGCAAATCATAATAATCGATTGACACGAAAGGCTTGTTCTCGTTTCCCCCACTTTTTAAAATAACATGGGGGGAAGAATGTTGTTAGAAGGATTATAGTCTGTTTCTACAATGTAAGTAGTATGGGCAGTATTTACCTGTGTTTTTACCTGTGTTTACCTGTGTTTTACCTGTGGTTAACCCTTCTATCTAAGGTGGTGTTTTATCATACTAAATTTAATAATACATTATATAAGGGTTTTTTCAGATTTGTAATGACAAATGTTAAAATTTAAATTATTTAAATATTAATCATATATATAAATATATATATTCAGTATTAAATATATCCATTTTGTAGTCCTTGTGCTGCTGATATGATAAGATGAAATGTGTTATTTCATTTTCTATTACTTTAAAAATATTAATATAAATAGTTCTTAAATAATCTTTATTATTGTAACATTTAATAAGATGGCTACATTACTTTGTACAAAATGTAAGAATGTAATGTGTGACTATAAACTAAGAGTGTGGTGTTTAACAGTTAATTAATCAGTTAATTGATCAGTTAATTGATCAAAATTCCTAGATGTAATAAGTATCTTATAACTATCATAAAAATCATTGAACATCTATAATTATCCAAGCTCCGGACCGACGAATGGAATGATGTCAGCGAGAGGATTGTCAAGCGTCTACCGACCTTCTACTCAATGCACTCTAGTCTTTCATTCTTTGGAATGATGGACGCAGACACCATAGTTACCAATGACCACCCGATACATTGACCTGGACCGATTCTGGACCAAGACGACTGCCGGGGAACAGTTCCTGCTTTTTGATGATGAAGATGACTCGCGCATCATCAGCTTCGCTACTACGGACAACCTCTTCGACCTTGCCAATGCTGACAACCTCTACTGTGATGGAACTTTCTTCACATGNCTAATATGCAGTGACGGTTGAATGTTTAAAAATTGTAATATAATTGAAATGTAATCATTATGTATAAGTACATACTTTGTATGTTATGTGATGTAATGCAACTTAATTTGGAATGAAATAAAGTTTATATTAAGTAGTGAAATACTCGATTGTGAAATCTTATGTAGTGCTGTTATATTCTATATCATCTGTTTAAAAGTGTAATGTAAATATTTGACTGTAAACTCGACATATGTATAAGTATAAAAAAATATATCGATTATATATAAAGATATTTGAACCCCAAAAAAGTATTAAAACCTTATTTATACCCAACATATACAACAAAGCTACAAGTCACACAGGTAACTTTCACACAGGTAAGTTAATTACCTGTGGGGTAAGTATGAAACAGACTATAATTGGTTTGCCATTGTCTTCCTAAATCAACACTTTCCTTTGTTATATAAAAAGTGGGGGAAACGAGCACAGACATGTTCACGCTTGGATGAACAATAGAAATGTTAACTTCAAGACAGTATAAGGGTAAGATGGGGGAAATGGAGTATAAACAAGTGTGATGTTATTGTTCAGTAGCTATAGAATGACACTCAATTTATATTTTGACTCCCTCATTTCAACATACACAAAAAGGCACTTAATTTAGGAAAATGTTTTTATCAAACAAAAATTTGATGCTAAATCGCATGAAAAATATCCTATTAAAAACAAAATATCTTATTAAATACTTACTCACAATTTAAGACATAATTGTATTTACATCAGAAGGTTCTTCAATAGCTTTAACCGTCTTAATTGAAAGAAAGCAAAGATACAAGTGACGTTGTCGTCTTCGAAATCATTTTTGCCCCAACGAATATGTGTAAGTAATACCTGAGAATTAACACAATACTCTGTGTGTTCTCCTTCTCAAACTCACAACGTGTTGTATCGAGGTCTACATTCCTACCATAGTTTACATTGCAGTCGGTTATCTTTTGAAGCCTACAGGTAAAACTTGACGTGAGAAGGAGGTGTTGGAATTTGACACTAGTGAACCCAATTAGGTTGTCGGCAAGATAAACAATACATACACATAGGTAACAGGTTAAGTCAAAACCATTAATAAAATTTAACTTTTCCTAAAACAGCATACAACTCGAAAATGTAATATATCAAACATTTAAGCCCGAATTGTATAACATATTTCGAAAACTTTCAAAATTCTGGTTATGATTAGAAATAAATAATAGCAATTATGAAACAAAATATGAAGTTACTTTTTTGCGTTGTTGCAGTCAAACAACCCCTGAATGATAACCTACTAACAGTTCAAGGATAATAATCATTGGTTTATACCTCGTGTGTGTGCCACCACTGTGTCATGCTTATGTTTCACGGTTCGGTAGATAACTAGCGTCATGAGTTAACTATTCAAATACCTTATTTTTACACTTACTATCTATCTTCTCGGACTACTTGCTGTATAGGAAAGTGTTTAATGTTATTCATTTATACAGTTTCCTATTATTCCATTTGTCGGGGGTATTGTGTATGGT